TATTTTATCATCGCAAACGGAAGTTTTAAGTAATTTGGCCAAGCAGGTGTCTGGACCAAATTTATGTTTCATGCCAAAGTTAAAAATCAAATCGTTCTCTGGTCAGTTAACTGAGTGGAAATCTTTTCACGATTCGTATGTCACTTTGACACTCAGCGTGTCAAAAGTTTCAGTTGCTGAAGAGGTACTTGACGGAAGCAGCATACGAGTTAATTGGGCATATTCCTGCGACTAACGTTGGAATCTGTAACACCGGCAGCCACATCGCGTACGGGAAGCCGTTCAGTTGCAGTTAAGACACATCAAACGACGGTAGAAATGAAAGTTCAATGCCAAAAATGCGGCGGTATACATGAGTTGCATCAGTGCAATGAATTTCTTAGTATGGATGTTAAAGCTCGCAGAGCCTTTGTGGCCACTAAAGGCATATATTACAATTGCCTTAGAGTCGGTCTATATCAAATAATTGCAGCTCAAAATTTTCGTGCCGTAATTGTCGAAAACGACATCACAGCCTCTTACATGAAGATAACCAGCAAACGCAGAAGTTGGAGTCATTAGTGGACTCTGGAGTTAATGTGAACTTTCACGCGCTACCTGCAATTAACACTCTTTTGCCGACAGCGGTATGTCTGGTAAGCGATAGCTATGGGTGTAAACAGTCGCGTCGCTTGTTGTTGGACAGCGGTTCTGAGAAAACTATTATATCAGAGAGTACCGTCAGTCGCTTAGGGCTACATCGAAAGCATGCAAGAATACCGGTACATGGTTTGGACAACTCAGCTACTGGAATATCGCGCGGCTGGGTTTCTCTTCAAATAACAAAACAACAATAATACGTTCACAGTCGATGCGCTAATTATGCCAACAATTGCATCGTTTATGCCGGCGAATGAACTAAATAAAGAGCAGTACATTTCTTTTTTGTCTTTAGACTTGGCGGATCCATTGTTTTTTATACCTGCGCCAATAGACATTCTTTTGGGGAACGATAAATTTTTTGAAATTTTGAGGGGCGAAAAGATTGGAGGAAAAGAACAAAATGTATGTGCTCTTTCAACATCACTGGGGTGGATCGTAGGTGGCGATTTAACCAACAATGCGAGCGATAGAAACGTGGGAGTATTTCTTAATAACGTACACATCGACCAAACACTTACACGATTTTGGGAGACGGAAGAGGTCGAATACGCACATTAATTGACAGAAGACGAGCTAAGGGCAGAGTAATCATTTTCGCGTACGTATACGAGATCGGGCGATGGCAAGTTTAGCGTTGAGCTTCCTTTTAAAACTAAAGTTAACAATTTTGGAAATTCTTTTGAGTGCGCCCTTAAGCGACTGCAAGCAACAGACCGCAGGCTTGCAGGCAACCCAGATTTAAATTCGCAGTATACAAATTTTATGGCGGATTACATCGCTTTAGATCATATGGAGAAGATCCCAGATGAGGAAATTAGTAAATCACGTAACGAGTGCTGCTATTTACCTCACCATCCCGTTTTTAAAAACGATAGCACAACAACGAAGCTACGCGTTGTTTTTAATGGATCTGCACGTATTGGTAGCCACTCGTCGCTGAATGATGCGCTGCCTATTGGGCCATCGCTTTTGAGAGAGATTTTTGATATTTTACTCCGGTTCCGACGACATCGCTATATAATGTCTGGTGACGTCGAAAAGATGTACCGCAAGATTTGGGTGCACGATTACCACCGGGATTTCCAACGTATTTTGTGGCGAAGTTCACCCGAGGAGCCGGTGAATCACTACAAGTTAAAAACTGTGACTTATCGCACAGCATGTGCACCATTTCTTGCAGTGAGGGTATTGGAAGAGCTTGCAAAAAAATCTCAAGGCACTCATCCTTTGGCATCACAGGTAATTTTTAATGATTTTTATATGGATGACGTTATGACAGGGGCAGAGACTTTTGACGACCTTCTTAAAATCCATAGAGAGCTAGTTGCTCTTCTTAAAGGTGCAGGTATGAATTTGCGTAAGTGGATAGCAACTGCAGTGAGTTACTAAATTCTCTTCCCGAAGTAATGCGAGAGATGTCGCCTGTTAACTTGGAGCCACCGAAACTGCTCAAATTACTTGGAATGAAGTGGAACCCTGTTAATGACGTATTTTCATTTTGCCTTTCATACTCTTCATCGACAGTGGCAACAAAGAAGTCGATACTGTCAGATGCGGCGCGCATATATGACCCTTTAGGTTTTCTTACACCATGCACAGTGTTGATAAAAATGTTTTTCCAAGACCTGTGGCTTCTCAAATTAGACTGGAACAACAACAATAAATTCTTTGCAAATTCCAAGAAGAGCATTGTTCGCACTAGGTCGTAACGAATTACATGGCTTTTGCGATGCTTCTCAAAACGAGTACGCTACCGTCGTCTATTGCCGTTCTGAGTATGAAGGTAAAATAATAACTCAACTTGTGGCTGCAAAGAGTCGCGTCGCTCCGCTCAAGCAAATATCTTTACCTCGTCTGGAGTTATGTGGTGCTGTCCTTCTCTGTCCGCTGATAAATCGTGTAGTGAAGACTCTGCAATTCGATAGAATGGCAGTTCAAATGTGGACGGACTCATCGATCGTTCTTCAATGGTTATCGGCTGTGCCGCGGCGCTGATCTGTTTACATCGCAAATCGGACATCGGAGATATTGACTAGTTACAAAAGCTCTCAATGGCAGCATATTCGCTCATCACACAACCCAGCTGATCCCGCTTCTAGAGGCGTATGGCCTTCGGAACTACACACATTGAACATATGGTGGTATGGTCCCCCTTGGCTCAACCAACAAAAGGAGTTCTGGCCTAAGTCAAGTGCGTTGTCAGACATTCGTCATGGCGATCTAGAAGAACGTAAGAATCAACCAAAATCTCACACTAAACTTTTCTTTCTATCTACAGAAGATCATATAATAATTAGTCCACTGTCGTCGCGCATTTGAAAGTGGTCTCGACTAGTGCGCTCTGTGTCATATTGTCTACGATTTATTGGTTCTGTATGCAAACGAAAATATGAAACGTTCCTGTCTTCTAATGAACTCAAGGCTGCTACCGTCTTCATCATTCGTGCCGTTCAAGAAGAGCTGTTCTCAACTGACATTGCTGCCATGAATAAAAAAATCGCCATTTCTAACAAAAGCAATCTTTTGCTACTATCACCATTCTTAGACGACAATGGAGTGCTTAGGGTAGGCGGAAGAATCAAAAATTCATCAGCATCATTTGGCATCAGACACCCCATCATATTATCTTCGAAACACAAGATTGTCGAGATGTTAGTTAACTATACACATATTTTACATTTGCATGTTGGGGTTTCACAGCTTATATTTATTCTGAGACAACAATACTGGAATTTAGGCTCGCGAAATCTTGCGAGAAAAATTGTTATAACTGTTTAACTTGTTTCAAGCTGCGAAAGTCTACTCAGACGCAGTTAATGAGCGACTTGCCTATAGAGAGGGTGAGATTCCAACGAGCATTTTCTAAGGTAGGCTGCGATTATGCTGGGCCTTTTTTACTAAAGGTTGAGATAGGCAGACTGCCGCGTAAGGTCAAGGGCTACGTTTCTCTCTTTGTATGCTTCGTAACATACACTTGGAGCTAGTCGGCGATTTAACTACCGAAGCGTTTATTGGCGCCTTGGATCGTTTCATTTCAAGGCGTGGACAACCGGAAGAAATTTGGTCTGATAATGCGACAAATTTTGTTGGCGCTAAACGTAAACTTCATGAAATGTACCAGATTCTGGAAGCTCAACAACGAAGTTCTGAAGTTGCAGATTTTCTTTCTTTGAATAGCATTACTTGGCGTTTTATACCACCCTCATCCCCACATTTTGGAGGGCTTTGGGAAAGCGGTGTGAAATCGGTGAAAACACATTTGAAACGAGTAATTGGCGAAACAACTTTAACATATGAACGATTTTACACGCTCTTGGCTCGTATAGAAGCGCTGCTGAATTCGCGACCACTGTGCCCTAGCAATGATGGAGAAATTGATGGCCTTACTCCTGCTCATTTCTTGATTGGGCAGCCATTTACTGCGCGAGCAGAACCTACCGCCGACTCGGCTGCAAATATACATCCGCTAAAGCAATGGGAAAAGGTAAAACAAATGGCGCAAGGTTTCTGGAACCGATGGCACGCTGAGTATCTCACGAGTCTTCAGCAACGGAAGAAGTGGCAAAACGAAAAGAACTTAAAACAGCACGACATCGTTAACGTTCGCGAGCCTAATATACCTTAGTCGCAGTGGATGCTTGCAAAGGTTGTGAAACTTTTTCCTAGTACTGATGGCAAGGTGAGAGTAGTTGCAATAAAGACCGCAAGAGGGGAGTACGTACGACCGGTAACCAAACTCGCATTGCTTCCTTCCTCTGTGGGACCTAGGTCCTCCAGCAGCCCGGAGGATGTTCCGTAACCAGCAATATAATTTCAGTTTCAAGTAGGGTATATATGTTCTCTTATACTACCTTTCATAAATATGTATGAATGTAACCTTGTAATTTCATTTCACATCAATACATAGCTAAATATACATATGTGCATAGGTTCTTTTATCCCATACGATTGTATTGTAGTCCAGTTATGTACGGTAATATCAGCCCATAAGGTCACCTAAGGTATTTATATTTTCTAGAGTAGACTCGTTTTTTAGTTTCGCTTCAACATCACGTGGATGCAGTAATATTTGAGTAAAACTTAAACGAACTTAAAATAAATTTGCGTTTGTCAAAAAATCAAAATCATTCGCTTTTAATTTACAGTCCGCTGGTTTAGCTACAGCTATCACTTCTACCATTTTTTCAAATTATTGTTGCTTTTCCACAATAAGTTTTTCATTAAAAACGGCCTCAAGCTCAATAAAAATTGTTGAATATTTATCACAATGTTAGACGAAATAGACGTAAGATAATTTTAGTTTGAGAAGGAAACGATTTACGAAATATTAGCATATGAGTGTCAAGGTCAATAGATTTGCGCCGATCTTTCGAATTTCAATTATGACAGGTCGAAGTAAAGACCTCAGCCTGTAGATGTGCGATAAGATTTAAATTTTTGAAGTCAGACCTTTTTTTTTACCGGTACAGGGTGATTTAGAATTTGATGATATTAAACACTCGGAAACGGCTGCACGGATTTAGATGAAATACGGCACTCGGATCGCTTATAACTCTGACTTAGGGACACGAATTTCGATACGATACGATACCATATCGATACTTTTGGCGTTCGATACCGATATTTTCTACTCGATAGTTTTAAAACGATCTTTTTTGGAATCGAGTACCAGAACCCTAGTATCGTATCGAATAGCATAATCTCACATTACAAGGATAATGTTATTAACAATTCCGATATAAATTGGACTTTAAAGAGCAGTAATTTGTAATATAGTTAGGATTGCATGTGGTGGAATTTGAACCCGCGGCCTCGGTGTTTTAAGTCAACACCTCAATCTCTACGTGTTGTTACACAATATGTTAGTGTTTGACCGAGATTCTCCTCCGATTTGTCGCGCGCGCCTTAATGTTGTGGCACTAAAGGGGTCCCTACAGTTTTAGGTCGACTCTTAACGGCGATGGTTTTACTGGGAAGCTGTTTTTCATTTTCAAGCTTTGCACACTTCTAACCATTACACCACAGCGGCCTATATACGAGACCTATATTCAGATAATTTTTTTGGATTTTGGTATCGATATTTGGAATATCGAGTCTTTTTATTCCGATATTAGTGGGTACCCGATATTTTTAAAGCGATACTTTAAATGAGTACCATATCAATACTTTCTGTTCGATATCGTGTCCCTACTCTGACTAACATTTGCAATAGTTTTTGAGTTAAACTCTAGGGCGTTTTAACGCCATGCGGGCTTACTAGTTTTAGTATATTTTACAATAAATGCATATGTTTTTTGCATATTTTTGCTCTTTTGATTTATATACTACCATTTAAATTTAGTGCGAAGACTCTAGACAAAAAAATATCTAACATTTTTGCCCAAATATTCATCTGAATATCTGCTGTGATAGCCAATCGGCATTTTAAGGACCTCTCTTGTACCTCTTAGTTAGATCTCAACTAGTGGAGGACTGTAGGAGAGAGCTGGCCTATATCTCTGATCAATACGAAATTACCCTAATATGGATCCCGCGACATAGAGAGATTTACGGAAACGAGGCAGTGGACGAACTGGCAAGGTGCACTGAATGTGTCCTACAAAAAAATTACCGAAATGTATCACTCGAAGGCCAAGAAGAGGTGGAACCATGAAAGATCTTACAGGAATACCCCGGCAGCTCTGGGTGTCCTACGACCCACTTGAAACCAAAGCTCTCTTAAGAATGAATAAAGAAGATACAAACCTATAAACTTACTGTAGTGTGCAAAAGGTACTGTCCCGGTGGGGTACATGCTGAATGGATTGGATTGCCCTTCAACAGGTTTTTTTCGCAGTAGCGATGACCCTGGCTCAAAAGGACAGTCGAACACCTCCAGTGCAAGTGTCCAGCCCTCGCAAGGATGAACCTTAAGACACTCGGCAAGCGTATTGAAATTCATTAAAGCCGCCAAATGGCTGTAGGTTGCACGAGTTGTGGAATCAAAATGGCAAACTTGACAATTGCTTGTCACCAGGGTGCCAATCCACTTAAACCAACCAAACATTCATCTGAACCACTATTAAACTGTCAATGTTTCCATTTACACAAGATTGTAACTGTCTGCTTGATTATAAACTAATTTTATACATATGTAAATATGTATTGTATTTTGAATTGAACTCTTTTCGTTATTTTCGATTTAAATACTGTATGTTTTATTTCTTTTTGTACCGGCAACAAAATATTGGGAAAATATTTTTAATAGCATATTTCTCTTGTTTATAGCGCATATATTTGCATTTGAGTGCATATTATAAGGGCATATTTTCGATTTTTTAGTGCATGAGATTCCGAGCTCTACACAGCACAATTTTTTTTACCTATTACCGGATTTTACACGGTTCAAGTATTGAATTCAATTCTGCTTGCTAGTGCAATAGAAGGGTTGAGAAGAAAAGGGAAGAGTACATATGCGTCCGTACCGTCAAGTGGTTTCAAGTTTCTTGCTTTGCTTTTGACATTTTCGTTGTTTCCCATTTAATAAACCAAAAACTTAGCGTGTAAAAGCAAATAGAAAACACAAAAGAGAATGGACCAGAATTGCTCTAAAGTACTTGAATCATGTAAATCGTGTGTAACTAAATTTGAAAAAAACTAGTTTGAATAACTTTTTGGAACCATACAGTGGTGTTAGTGATTCTGCGTCGATGGAAGAAACTATTGATATAAGCCGGCGTTAGTCAAATTTTAGAGATTCTCGTATTTCCTTTTGATACTTTGAATGGATAAATAATCATGTAGAAGTGGGGCTACGGTTCGGCTATTTGTACAATGATTTGGGTTCTTGTAGCACACGCTTGAAATATGGACTTTTCCGTAAATTTTGGAGTGAATTCAAAAATACTGTGGCGTAGCCGGAGTTGAACTGATGAAAGTTTTTTGTAATATACACAGTTTTCTTTATGTTTACAAGCGATTTGTTTTTCTACAATTGGGAATTTTAGGTTTTTATATTATCGGTTTAAAATGTTTAAAATATCGAAGAGAAAGAAAAAAGTTACTGAAACTCGCCATATAACAATTACCTAATTCTTCAGGAACTAATCGAAACTAAAATGTCTATGTAAATAGCTTCGTCAATGCATTTGAAATTATCCGATACTATCGATAGTTTCAATGCAAACTATCGAAAACATCGAATGGGATGACTATCGATAGGTTTACAGCTCTAGCGTATACCTTTCTAGGAAATGTGAGTTTGGAACTCAACAATAGAAGAAAATGCGTGACATCGGTAGCAAAACAATAACAAATATCTAAAATCAACGCGAATTCTTAGCTTATAAATTAACTACAACTATGTCTTAAAAGACTTAAAGCAAAATTTAATTTAAAATAATAATTTAAAGCTTTTTAAGTTAAATTTTTTTAATTTAAAGCTTCAAAGTTTAAAGTTTTGTAATTTAAAGGTAATTTATGATTACCCAAAATTACATGCAATTGATTGAACTACAAGCCAAAAAGTGCAAATAACAACCTACTATCAAAGAAAATTGCGTTGAGGTGAAGTGCAATCCACTTATGTCTACAGAATTTTTCGGATGCTCCACAGTTTTATTCGCTATGCAATTTTTATAAAATCTGTAATATAAAAGTCTTGTAAATAGTTAAATTAAAACATACCTAATCATATAAAATGAATTAGTTATAAAATATATTTAGACACACGTCGTTTGTTGAAGATGTAGAATAGCATATTTTTATTTTAAACTTCTAATGAAAATTTTTGTACTTTTACCTGAAAAATAATAATAAAATTGTAAATCTTAGTGACAAAGTAATTATTTACAACTTGTCTTGTGGCGATACTATGGGAAGTGCTAGTTATTTCTTCGTCGTAGATATGCTGCTCCTCAGTACTTGAGCTAGAATCACCTTCATTTTCATGCATTATATTATTTAATATAATAATATTATGCAAAATCATGCAAGTATTTATAAGTATATTTCCAGTTAAGATATTTTGTATGTGTTTTGTTTTAGTATGGACAATATTTTTACAAAAAAATCCGCGGAAAATTTTAAGTAAAAAATGTTGCATACATTGTGAAAAATTCCCTGTGCCAATAATTTAAAGCGGCAATGTACATACATACATACATGTATATATATAATTTGGTGTGATTTTTATTCCAATTTTAGTTTATGTTTTAAGTAATTTAGAAACACTATCATTGAAGCTTCGTTTTATGAAAATTTTTGTATATGAAATTTTACACTGTTTTGTTTTTCTAAATAGAAAGTTTCTAAAAATGCAGCAATAAAATTGATGTCGTTTGTTACATATTAGGGGTATTCTCGAAGTCTTGCAAGTACACTGAAGGGAAAAAATATTAAAACCAAATAGTAACGTAATTGATGTTATTCGGAAGTACTGTATATTGGTAAATATTCAATTCAATTACAGGCATATTAAAATTACCGCGTTCGTTCTGAAAAAGCATCCGTGAAGTGAATAATCAATATAAAAACCAAAAAAAAAAATATTTAATTTGCATGTTGCCTGCAGTGGAATTCGAACCCTGACCCTCTCTGGATACCAACAAATTGTGGCAAGTATCTTTGCGCACTCAGCTACAGCAA